GAACTAAATTTGCGTTTACAATAAAAACTAAATACAAGTATATGTTTATTTTGTCATATTTTACATTTCATATACTTTACTATTTAATCATATTGGGTAGCAAGTAGGGATGGACACAGGTTTGGAACGGTTCGGATTATGGTTACAAAAATGATGTTTGTACCTATTCTTATACCCACCCATGTTTGCGAATGTTTTTTTTGTCTGTGAGTACCGTTCACAGACAATATTTTGTTTGTGCAAAATTTGCACAGACAAAATAACACATATTTTGTCTGTGAACCAGATTCACATACAAAAAAACATTCACAAACATAATGGACATAAAGTGGGTATAAGGGTGGATACATCAAGCATTGTTGGTATGGTTATCCCGATCCCAATCCGATAATCATACAAACGGGAAACGGGACGGGATGTGACAACATTTTAATTATACGAATAAAATAGGTACAGTTTCAGGATATTTTTGGAATGGGACAACGGGATCGTGAATTTTCTCCAACTCTAGTAGCCAGTGCCCCCAATAACGAAAAATCCTAGATCCGCCCCTGTTAAAAAGTGCAGGCACCAGTACATTACAAATTAATAAATGTACGGTAGACTTTTCCTAATTATAATTATATTTTCGAACTTTTGGAATCAAATTTCTATATAAGAGTTTGACTTGGTTTGATTCGTGTCGAGTTTGAATCAAGTTGCACTACCAAAAAAATACAGGATTGACACGGAATTTGGCACGGAATTACCAAATTTTCGTGCCAAATAGCTCGTGCCAAGTGTTTTTGGCACGGATTTGGCCTAATCACTGCCAAAATCCCTATCAAAATCTCTGTCAATCTCATGTTTTTTTGGTAGTGTCGATCTAAATTCGAGTAAAATCGAACAAGTCTTGACTAACTTGTGACTTGTGAGCCCACTTGTTTGATTAGTACCTAGACCCAAAACAGGCATCTCGAAACAGATGAATAAACAAACTCGATAGGACCCGACCGTTATTGATACTATATGAAAATTGGGTCTAATTCAATCCATAAGAATTGTATAAAATTGGGGTTAACAAACATGTAGACGATCTCATCATCAATTTGAATTAATCTAGTAATGATAGAAATAGTTGTTTATGTTTTAAAATTTTATAAATCCATTAAAGCTTGGTCAATCATGACAAGTTTCATTCTAAAGTGATGCTATCTAAACGGATGCTGATATTCTTTTCATTCATTATTGATCTTTGTTGGATACTAAATGACAAATCATATGATGAGCTTTGAGCAATCGAATAGAATGTTTGTTTATGTCAATATATCAAGACGTACTGGAGTGTCTTCAGTGTCTTGATTCAATAGTTTTTCTTTTTTATAGAGTTCGATTAATATGCAATACAAAATCATTATAAAATTAAACTCGAGTTCATAGAATCGGATTTTACTTGGAATTAATTGAATTTTACTCAATCAAATTAAAATAAATCTAATGTTTTCCTCAAAAAAAAAATACATCTAATGTAATCAATGTGTGCACTTATTAAGACTTCTATTGGCAGTATCATTTGGGTAGTTGCCTTTAATGTTTTCAAATGGCAAAATCAAACATTAACAACACCTGCAATCAAACATTAATAACTTAGTAAGCTTTTGAAACTCACAAATACTTGACACATAACAAAAAGTGTATGAAATGTCAAGCCTTTTATATGGCGGCAGCTAGGGTTCAGTGATAGTGGTAGCTACTAGCTAGGTTAACGTGCGAAGAATTGAATGAAGGCTAGGGTTGGGACTTGGGAGTTGGGAGTTGGATAGGGAAAGGGTTGGTGGAGGTGGTGGGGTTGTGGGCGGTGGTGAGGGTTGGGATTGGGGCAAGCTAGGGTTTTGGCGTCCATCACTGACAGCGGGATCTACGCTCACGACAACTTAAAAGAGTGAAATTGCTATTTAAATAATAATCACTGTATAATTTATGGAACTAAAACAAAATATTGTAGAGTCCTCAAATTATTTTAATCCTTTCTATTATTATTATTGTTATTATTTTCATCTAGTTTTTAATTGATTTTTCCCAAGTTTTACCAAACAATATATTCTGAAATAAAAAATTACACAAATATTACTAGTTTAATTAAAGTTTAAACTCCACTAACAAAAATATGTTTTTTGCCATAATGTACTCCCATATAAGGCCATAATGCTGTAACTTAACCTACTAATAGTCTAATACTAAACCGTCAAAAAAAAACCTACTAATAATACTAATGGCTAACCGCTAATTACGATTTACGACGGAAAGAGTGCGGTTTCTCGAAATCCATTCTCGACGAGCGAACTTAGGAAAGCAGCGAAGAACGAACGAAACCATCAAACCAGAGGTTATTATTTATTACTCATTAGGTTCGGATAATAGGTATTTTGGACGTTAGTTTTCAAATTGGGTTAAACACATTGACATATTAGGTAATTATTATATAAGTGAGTTCAATAAATCGATACTACTACGGTTATTATGCTATATACAATGTGATTTGAGGAAGCCTAAGTGGTATTTATTTTTATTGTTTTTGTGAAGTGTATCTGCCTAATTGAATGATGGCCAAAAGAAAGCGTTCAAGTACACTTCATGAAAAGAAGCCTAAAGTGAATCAGATGCGGTAAGGCGGCTATCTTGCTGCTATGAACTACCAAGTATATGTTTTCTTATGGTTTAGCTTTTTTAATCTTTACATGCTTTCTGTTTTGACACTAGTTGTTCAAAAGAATAATTTGAGATATGAATTATTAATCAACCCACCCAGATACTTATTTTATAGTAGCATTTCAATTGAAGGAAGGAGTTGGTAAAAGGCTGAATGTTTTGTCAACACCTTATTAGTTTTGTCAATAGCATTGTTACCCATTAAAAACACAACTATTATCATGTACTCCATCCTTGTTTAAAAGTCTCACTTTGAATTACACACAATTTAAGAAAATGGCACCGTTGGCATTGTTTTGACGATGTTTGACACTATTTTGCACTGTTTTGTTTATCAAATAAGGAAATGAGATCTTTTTAGGGACGACCTGAAAAGGAAAGTGACATATTTATTTAGGAACAGAGGGAGTAATATTTATATCTTTGCAGATGTATATTACATGATAATAAATCTATTAGTAAATTGTTATGTTCTCAAACTTCTGTCTTCTCTTTTTGGCTTCGATATCATGGATCGATTCATGTTAGCCGACTCCAAAAATTTTTGGAATTAAAGCTTGGATGTTGTTGTTGTTTACATCAATAATAGGTGAAACATAAAATGGATTTTAAAAAACTTTATTAAATTCTATACTAGACCCGTGTTTATTTATTTTTTTACACCCAAAAGTAAAAAAAACAATGGAAATATATATATATATATATATATATATATATATATATATATATATATATATATATATATATATATATATATATATAAGTTAGAGTAATAATTTATTTATTAATATTTTAAAGAGAAAATGTGTAATTTTGATCACCCACTAGTTGGCAATCCCGAGCAAACCCCATGTGGTTGGCAACCGTGCTCGTTGTTAAATCATCAATACTGGTCTAACTTTGCTATCTTGATCATGCGACCTCATTAAATATGTAAATTTTAATTTTAATTATTACAATTGAATTAGTTAAATCACCATGCTAACTTTAATATTGATTGACAAAATATTTGAGTTTGCAAAATAATATGGGATGGAGTTGAGTATTATATATTTGAGCTATTGATTCTGCTTCATATGAGCTACCTTTTACTACTGTATTATTAATATACGAAGTGTGTTCTTGTATGTATTGAAACCTATGTTTATTTATGCTTACAATTTTCTTAAAATTACTAAATGTTGTTTTGAGATTTAAAAGTCACGAATAAATATTCCCTTTCTTTGAAATGCAACTATCAATTTTTATAGTAAAAGTTGTCAAATAAAATATTGATTCATCAATGAGGAAGGTGTCACTTAAGTACATCAATTTATATGAGGTGCAGTAAGGAGGACAATATATTGCATCTCAGATTCTTAAGTACATAGATTCGATTTTTTATTATTAATTGAGTACACCCGTTAGATTAACACATTAACATGACTGAATTGACTAACAGAATGTTAATTAAGAATGAGAAGTCGAAAAATGTTCTAACGTCGACCTTTAAGAAGTTGATCAAAATGGGGAAGTTGATCAGACCAAGGTTATGGTGTCGAATTTCAAGTTATCAACCTGTGGGGGTGCATCCATCAACCAAGGGGAGTCGATCAATTCAAGGTTCTGGCGCAACCTTTAGAGGTCGACATGTCGGGCCCCGATCTGCGGGGTGCATCAATCGAGGGGAAGTTAACGTGCACGGATGGCGTTGATCAAGGGGTTGAAAGTTGGCGTTGACCTTCAGGAAGTCGACACTTTAGCATTCCATTAGCACAGCCAACCGTATTAACATGTTAATATAACGGGTGTACTCAAACCAAGCATTCCAGCCCAGCTGGTTGTGAGGTTACCATGTCTAGTGAGAGGTCTCAAGTTCGAAACCCACTAGGCACATAAGGGTTCAAAACTCAATGAAGTGATTTTCAGCTCTGGTTACTCCAGGCCCCCCATCCCTTCTCCCCCAGACCCCCGGAGTAAAAAAAAAAGGTGTACTCAATTAACACTAAAACCCGAGTTTATGTACTCAAAAATCTCAGATAGAATATAATCTACTCTTTACTCCGTCTCATACTAGTTAATGTACTTAATTGATCCTTACCTCAAATATCAATAGAGTGAACAACTACTTAATTTTTACTTGGACTGTAATTTGCTGGTCTGGTCTGGTCTGGTTTCTTTATATTTTTATAACTACGCAAGTCTGGTCTGGTCTGGTTTGGGACAAATTACGATCCAAGTAAAAACATTCTTAAAAATGAATAGAGTATTTTTGGTTTATTGCTGTTGGGCGTTGAGCCTAGTTTATACTTTATGCTGCTTCTTGATTAGCCCAATATATACTATGCCAACATATAATTTGGGCTTTTAGACTCAATACCCAACATACATCTCGTCTATCCATTTTGTCTTTCATATTCATCGTCTTCCCATACCTCAGCTTTAAGGTTCTGTACTGTAAGGTAATTCGGTTTTCCAGTCCGCCATGGCTATAGCTACTCCCGAGCTTAATTACTTCAAATTCTCAAACTCATGTTCTCGAAATTCTACTGCATCGGTCATCCATCCTCAACGGGTTCGTTTGCCCCCATCCCGGCGCGCCCTGGAATTAAAATCCGCTGTCTCCGTCGAATCTCCCGCGCCCACCGCCTCTGACTGCAACGGTGGGCAATCGAAATTGTTGCTCGAAGTGAAAGACCTATCCGCCGTCATCTCCAAGTCAAAACAGCAGATTCTAAAAGGAGTTAACCTAACGGTTCGCGAGGGAGAGGTGAGCTGCTCTCGCTGGTCTATTTGCTTGCAACATTAGCTTAATATGCTTTTCAGTTGAAACGGAAATTTCAATACTTTGTAAATTAAAACCATTACCTCTGCTCAGTCTGTTTGGAAAAGCAAATGAAATAGAAACTTCATAATTTGTTCACAAATTGGAAATATTCTCATCGTGTTATTTATCTTAAAAAATGGAGGTATGAATTTTAATTTTGTTAATGGGATATTACTCAGGTCCATGCTGTAATGGGAAGGAATGGTTCGGGAAAGAGCACATTTGCAAAGGTCAGTGCTTGTTTCTTGGAGTTTCAGCTGTTTTTGTGAAGATGTATGAACAGTTAACACAAACATCCTCTCTGCATATTATCGACTTATCTTCAAGCCAATTATTGAATATCTTCTGAATTCTATGATGATATCTAAATGCACTTAACAATGTGGTCCTGTGATTTTTTGTGATTTATCTTGTGTGCTTATAGTGTTAGAATCAGTAAACAACATAGCTTGTTGAGCTTCAAATTCATTGTTGATATTACTGTGTCAAAAATCTTGCGCTTTACCAAGTTTGTATAGGTCCTTGCTGGGCATCCGGATTACGAAATTACGAATGGGAGTGTGACATTTAAAGGCGATAATTTGATTGAGATGGAACCAGAGAAAAGGTCTCTATCTGGTCTTTTCATGAGCTTTCAAACCCCAGTTGAGATTCCAGGTGTGAGTAATATAGATTTTCTGAACATGGCATACAATGCCAAGAGAAAGAAACTTGGACAGGAAGAACTTGGACCAATTGAGGTATGTAGTGATAATTACCTGTATCATATAGTTCTCCTTATGAATAAACTCTTTCTTGAATATATATCTACCCCTACTGGTCTCTTTGGATGGAGGGTTTTGTAGGGAGTACTTTAAAGGACTTGTGTATGTCTCAATATATAGTTTAGATTTTATAAAGTTGTTACAGATTAACATTTCAGATATCCCATATAAATAAACTGTTTCTTGACTATATATTGTATCCTCTAGTAGTCTAGGGGTCTTTTTTGGATAGGGGATTTTGCGAGGAATACTTTAAAGGACTTAGTCTATATCTTAATATATAGTTGAGATTTTATAAAGTTGTTACAGATTAACATTTCACAGAAACTTTATTCGTTTTTTGGAAAGTTCTATTTACCTAGGTATAGACTAAGCCCTCCAAAGCCATCACCTTCGGATTCTTACACTAAGACCCCTTAGTTTCAATATGAATCTGTCTGGTCTTATTTCCCATTCAGGAATTTCACTCACTTCAATTTGCAGTTCTATGGATATATCGCCCCAAAACTTCAACTTGTGAACATGAAGGTAGACTTCTTGAACAGGAATGTAAATGAAGGATTCAGTGGTGGAGAAAAGAAGCGAAATGAGATTTTACAATTAGCGGTATTGCCTATATAAACACATCTTTTTTTCATTCTTGCATAAAGATCAGCATTTGATGCTTTAATCATACTATTTCCATCCCAAAAAAGTGTCATGCTTCACCATGACACATTTGGTTTAACTAAAATGGACATACTTTTGTTAGGGACTGTTTTCTAAAGTAATACATTAAATATAATGAAAATTAATTTCTTTTGTTCAAATATTGTTTTTTGGGAAAAAATATTTTAAATGGGAGTAAAGAGTGTTTGGTGCGTGTACTAAGTGTTTGTGTGGCATTTGACAAATTGGTAAGTGCAAAAAGATTTAAAAACTCTGTTTGCTTACAGGTCCTTGGAGCAGAATTGGCTATATTGGATGAGATTGATTCAGGCCTAGATGTTGACGCCCTTCGAGATGTTGCAGACGCAGTAAACCGGTTATTATCCCCCACAAATGCAGTGGTGATGATTACTCATTATCTGCGACTGTTGGAGTTTATTAAGCCAACCTTCATCCATATCATGGTAATTAACATAAATTTAAAGAAAGCAAGTAAATGTAAAATAAACTTCTGCATATAAATTTATATGCATTGTTTGGGTTAATGCGTGTTTAAAAAAACATGCAAAGTGTGTGTTTCTTTATTTCCAGTGTGCACAGTAATTTTTTTCATATAGTACGATGCAGAATTATTTTAAAAAGATTATCCTCTACATTAAAAAGTTAAACAAAACACTCTTTATAACCCACTCTTTGTATGTGTTTGTTTAGCATAATGCCAAACACCATCTAACACTCCATTTGCTTGTTATTCTTGTCCCTCAGGAGGACGGTAGAATTGTGAAGACTGGAGATATTTCTTTAGCTGAAGTTCTCGAGAAAGAAGGATACAAAGCAATTTCAAGCGCATAGTTCACTTCATACTTTCTAAATGAAATTCTTTTTCCAGCGCGAACCCACCCTCACTCAACTAGTTGAGAGGTTCAGTGTTCAAATCGGCCCACAACCATGTAGAGAGAAAACGAAGAGAAAGGCGGCCTATATATATATATATATATATATATATATATATATATATATATATATATATATATATATATATATATATATATATATATATATATATATATATATATATATATATCCACTTACAAATTACAATGTATTATATAATAATTCAATATTGTAATCTTATTGTTAAATAATACTCCATCCGTCCCATTTATATTGTCCCGTTTTACCTTTTCGGGAAGTCCCACTTAAATTGTCTCATACCATATTTGGCAAAGTTTGTGTGGCTCTAAATCATTCTTACTTTATTCTTACTTTATCGATTAATATCAACCACACAAACCCACTTTTCTTAATAACCGTGACATCCTCTTCCGTTCCAATATAAATGGGACGGAGGTAGTAGTTTGATCGAAGTTGGGATTCCAATGTAGGTCTTCACTGTTCAAATTGTACTCCTGGTTTTTAAGAAAAAATAGCTAGTTGGTTCATTACTTCATTACAAAAGCTAATATTAATATTGTATTGGGTTTAAAGGTTTAATCAACCTTATATCATTAATGTTCCCATATTAACATATCAGTTAGTGAGAATATTGTTAATGAATGAATGGGGTTGAATATTTATTAGGATGTTTTTACTTGGATCAAAATTTGCTAGTCTGGTCTGTTTAACTTTAGTTTCTGTGTATTTCATAATTATGGAGGTCTGGTATGTTTAATGATTTGATTTGATTTGTTTAACTTTGATCTGATCTGGTATGGAATTTGCAAGTAAAGACATCCTTAGTAAACCAAAAAAAATAGTCATGTATTTCAAATGCTTTGTACACTATTAACTTTGACTATTTTTCAAAAAAGATAAAGAAGAAAACCTGAACATAAATATGTATTGAACTCCATATCGAAGGGGACTGAAATATTAAACTTAGGGTTATGTGTTTTTTAATTCTATTTATTTTAATATCAGCAAAAATGTATATCACCTACATGGCCACATGTAGTCATGACCAACTGACCATTTGCGGTATGCAAATGAAACAACGAGGAAAGGAAGTTACTCAACGTAGGTATGCAATTGCAGCACAGTTAATGGGGGGATGTCTGGACTCTGGATGACAATAAACGCCATCCAGCAGAGAATCCCGTGTTCCGTGGCAATACTGTAAATTTAAGTCTCTAATAGGGAATAATATTCATTAAACTGAAATAGCCAAATACGATCCTTTTAAGCAATTACTATTCCTCTCCAGTGTAAGTTTCAATATGGCTCAAGATTTACTTTCTCATACTCTCTTTCTCTCTATCTCACAGTACATTCATCTAGCACTTATACCACGAAAAAGAGAAAAAGAAGAACCAGGAAATTCTTCCATCAACGATAGTTGTTAGTACTTATTTAATTGCATAAGCTCATGGAATAAAGAACTCTTTTAAACCGAAATGTGGAGAGCAACACAATATGAACAACAAACAGCTTTTAGATGAATCCTTCATTATGACTCTCCTTTTTCAAGTTTTTGTATTTCTTCTCGATGCCTTTCTTCAGCTTCTTGGCGTTTCCTTTCCTCATCCTCTTCTTCCTCCTGCTGGTCAAGATCTTCAAACTCCTTGCTTGCAGCCATTGCTTTAACAACGGGATCTCTTAGTTCAGAGATCAGACCACCACCAACTTTGTACTCTTCTTCATCCCCAATGAGAAATAGACGCTGGTCTGGTCCACTAACCATTGGTATGTCTACTGCTAATAGCTTTACATCATACTGCACATAACATTGACATCAAGTACCGTGTTAAGAAAAGATGCATGTGATGTTGATAAGTGAGTAGCACTAATACAATAAACAAATTCTCCAAGACATCACAGTTTATTGTGCAGACGTGTAAACACTGTTTAAATAAGTACCGAAATTCTAAACTCCATGTCTTGGTATCTTTTGGACCTAGAAATAGTGAGAGGAGAAAGGCAGAAGCCAACATATGTTTTATTTTTCTTTTTTAAAGAATGATGCTATTCCCCTATTCCGGTATAATAGAACAAAATGAAAAAGCCTTGCAAGTATAGTTCAATACAGATTTCATATGACTCCTTCCCAGATGATCACCTACAGGAAAGTTCAAACGTTGATGGATATTTAAAATGTAATAAAGTAATTGGTCTGCTTAATGAAATGGTAATTACTTTGACAGTTTGACCTGTCAAAGTCGTCAAATTGCATGAATACAAGGAATGCCATTTTCAAATACAGGGATGGGAGGATTCTTTTTTCTAGCAAAACTACACATTTTAGGGATTTCAGTGAATGGAAAATAACACACCTTGTAAGATACTGTTTGTTTCTTGGTTGAACCTAGATACTTCCAGATCTAATTCGGGGTTCACCTTGTTGGTTTATTATTTTATTAGAACTCGGTTTTTAGAAAACCTAGATTCACTTTGGAGAACCTCTAATAACTGAATTTTTGTGAACATCCAAATAAGAGTTTTCTGAAGGCCAGTTTTCCTTATAAGTAATTTTAGTATGTTCACCTAGTTAAGCCTCCATCCAAATAACATTTTACTAGATTCAATTTGGTTAACCGAATACTTACCCAAACAACATTTATATATTTACCTAGTTATATTTAAGTTCACTCAATCCAAAGGGAGCCTAAGAGAAAGACTGAGCAGTTATATATGCAGCCGTGAAAAACATACAAGTATGTAAGAACAATAATGTGAAAAACAGGTCAAGGCTAAACACAGACAAAAACATTTCTATCACCAAGTGTATAGAGCAAAATATATGAGATTCAGAGGTAAGAAGACAGAAACAGATGTAATAAAACCTGGCCCTTCTTGTTCTTGACTTCAACACTCACTAAGCCTTTTCTCTCAGAGCCTCGTATAGGAAAAATCAGAAAACATCTTTTGTTTCTAAACTGTGGCTTGAAGTTCTTCAATGTAACACCACCCCCTGACATGACATATGCTCTTAGGTCTGTCCCTGTCAAAGGAGCACCCATGACCTCAAGTATTCCAGCAAATGTGTTCAGTCTTCTCATGGCCATTCTATAAACTTTATCAGGATTGATCGTGAATCGTGTTCGTGCATACAATCCCTTACGATAGAAGAATAAAACAGAATCCAGAATCAATAATTAGCAAAAGTTGCCATCTATACACCCTCAACTAACAAAGAATGAATAATGAACTAATAAAGAATGAGTAGGGCCGTAAGGGTTATTCAGTTAAATTTTATTAAAGAGAATCGTTTTGTTCAATTCATTTCAGCCAAAAACGCAAGTCAAAGGCTAATTATCTTGCTTTAGTATATTTTAGCACATTCTCATTTCCACTAAACACTGAGCATTAATTTAATTTCCCGGGGGGGTGGGGGTGGGGGGGCTAAGCTTTATGCGGAAATATCTAATGCTGGACCAATCTCCTTAAATTTTTACACAAGCAGCAACCAATTCGTATAAAATCTTGCTTCTTTGAGTTCATAGTGAAATTATACTCTTATGTGGCACATCTAAATAATGCCAGACTGCTAGAGAGGATTCACAAGGCAAAGTTATGGGGTAATTCAACCATAAAACCTAAATCATATTCCCACAATATACAATATAATCCTCCGTCTCTTTTTAGTTGCAACATGTTGACTTTTTGCACTATTCACATGATCTACTTTGACTACATTTTACACTATTATTTTACGGAAATAATTTAAAAAAAAAACATTTTTCAATTGATCTCATTACAAATTTTCAAAATCTGATTTTTAATATTTTTTTATTAATAGAGATTAAGATATACTTACGGTCAAATGTGTGTTGGCAAATGTGCAAAGGTTGACTGTTGCAACTAAAAAAGAACGGAGGAAGTACATGATTAATAAAATGATGAGCAATAAACAAAGAAAAACATAATAAGAGTAATACTCCGTAGCTAGCAGCAACAACAGATACTTATGAAGAAAACACTCACAGCAAATGAGACAATGGCAGTGGAAAGGGCAAGGAAGCCATACTTAGCCATGCCTTCAGAAAACCCAATGAACGTGTTGGCAACACCAAACAAAAGCCTCCAAAGCAAAATGCAAATCATAAACCCAAAGGCACCAAATAACACCAAGGAATTCCTCTTCCAGAATGCCTCGATCTGCAAGCCCGCAGCTTCTCTATACCTCAAAAACACATTCTTCAAAGCTCCCAAAGGATTCTTCCCTGACTTCCTCCCAAGTGCATCATTCACCTTCGAACCCAAATCAAAACCCTTCATCGAGAAAAATCTACTAGATCCTAATGCGTTCCTAGTGGATATGAAATTAGTAGCCAATTTACCATGTAGGTCAAGTTTCCTGATGGAGGATTGGGGAAACATGGGAAATGGGGATGAAGAAAAATGGTTTCTCTGAAACAGCCATGGAGATGGAATTGGGCTTTGGGTAGATCCCTGATTTCGAGTGATGAAATGCGATATGCCACTTGAATGAACACTGTGCCCTGTGGATTTTGATGAAATGCACTGGTACAGGTTTCGGATTACCAGCTTTGATGACGAAGTTTTAGACATCTTTCTCAGCTTACAAATTGTTCGAAAGAGGCAGTGATGAAGAAACACAAAGTGCTAGAATGTCATTCAGTCATTCTTCCCTCAGAATATCTGCTACAGCTCGTTTCTTTCTTCCTCCTCTGGTCAAGTTTTTTTGCAGTACAAATGTCAGAAGCACCGCAAGTTTGCACTTTGCGGCAGCTCAGCCCGACTCGGGATTCTGGATTTCTATAGGCGGGCCTTCTGCTATTTTTGAATGGGCTTCCATTTTACTCGTATAATCAAAATAGGAGCCCGTTTCATAATATATTAAAATTAGTTGAACCTTCTCAAATTTATGAAATTCTTGAATTTGAATAACAAAACTATTATATTTAAAGTATATTTTATTAATAATATAAAGAAGAATTTATATGAAAAATAACTAAAATTATCATTTACGATAACTACAGAAAAGTATATTTGAATTTATTTATTTTAATTATTTATAATTCAACGTGCAAAGTTAAAAGTTACGTATTTATTTAAAAAAGGTACGTGTTTATTTAAAAGTTAACTAATACGGTTGATATAAAGAGGGAGTATAAAATAAAAATCAACCCAATTTTCATCTTATCATCTTTACCAGTCACTTTCACTAACTAGGAAACTTAATTTCATAGATTAAATTGTATAATGATCAAAATGTGGTTAGATTTTTTTCCCTGAATTGGTAGAAATTGTACAATATGGGATTATATTAATTTTTTACATATTTAATCGATCAAATATATTGTAAATGTAATTTTTTCATACTTCGGAGAGATGCTTCCCAATAATTAAAAGAGCAATTTTAAATTTAGTTAAGGGAAAATCGCACTTTTAGTCCCTGAAATAGGCACGAAAATGAATGTCGGACCCGTATTTCTTATATGGTAAATGTCACCCCTCAATTGTCCAAATTGTTGTAAATGTGGTCCTTTAAGGAGTGGAATGTACTCTCGCTCACATTGTGTATTTCACGACTAAAGGGTCAAATAGGCCCTTGAACTGACTTAAAGTGTTCAATTAGCCCCTTATATAGGAGGTTCTGCCTGGCCGTCATTAATTGGGGCGGTTCCCGGTGGAATTTTTTGATGAATTTTTTTAGCATCTTCTTCATTAAGTCTAGTTTACCCATATCAAATTTCAGCTAAAAGTTCAACCGGGAAGGCAGTCAAATGATTTTCCGAAATGTACAGCGTTGTTTAACTTCACAGTTATCTTCAAAAAATCATTTGACTGCCTTCCCGGTTGAATTTTTAGCTGACATTTGATATGGGTAAACTAGACTTAATGAAGAAGATGCGCAAAAAATTTCATCAAAAAAATACATCGGGAACCGCCCCAATTGGCGACGGCCGGGACAGAACCTTCTATATAAGGGGTTAATTGAACACTTTAAGTCAGTTCAATAGCATATTTGACCCTTTAGCCTATATTTCACCCCTCAAAGGGTTCACATTTACAGCATTTAGGACAATTGAGGGACGACATTTACAAACTCGGAATATAGGTCCGACGTTTCATTTTCGTGGCTATTGCAGGTAGGGGTGGGCATAAAACCCGAACTGAACTGGTATCGAACCGTCCCGTAATAGTACCGAATCGATTACCGGGTATTTAAACGGTTCTATATATTTTTGTCCCGTACCGAAACCGTACCGTTTGAAACGGGTACGGGACCGGTTCTAGATTTTGAGAACCGAAAAATACCGGACCGAATCGTTCGAAAATAACGCATTTCAATTTTTTATATTTTTTCTATACCAATAGATATTTTTTATAGACCAACAATTTTATATCTCAAGTATGTATTCATGCGTCCCTAAAATAACAAAATGTGTGTGTTTATATATATAATATATATATATATATTGTTATTTTTTCTTTTTAGATAATTTATGTTATATTTTGGTATGTATTGAAAGAAAATTAAAATTTTAAAAATCATTAATGACTATTCATTTCTAGTTTGTGTATCATGTTTGTGCAATCTTGCAAATTAACACTACAAGAAAAGTGAGCATCAACCACGGGTGTGTTTACCACATCAAGAAATGTGTGGTTATAAACATTACTTACAATAGGAAATCAACTGTGGTAAAACAATACTGTGGTTTATACAATAACAATGAAACTATGGTCTATAAAAACAACAAAAACCGTGTCTTTACCTTTGGATCTTGTAATTGGTGCTAGTTGTCATATTTTTTTGTACTTACGGAAACTTTTAATGATTTTAGTTCACAACTGTAATCATGTTAGAGAGTGTTTTGGTTTGCTTAAAAAAATCGTTTTTCAGCTTTTGGCTTAAAAAAAGATGAAAAGAGTGTTTTCAAATGTCAACTTCAGCTTAAATTAATCACTTAAAAGCTAAAAGCTGGAAGCAGATAGAAGAGTGCTTTAAACTGCTTTTCACTTTTTCTATTACACAAAAAGTACTTATTTTACCAAACACTACATACTTTTACTTTTTCAGAATCACTTTTTTCTCAAACACTACCAACTTTTACTATTAATCACTTTTCCCAAAATCACTTTAAAAAATCATTTTTTTTAAAGTTGAAGCAATCGCAAACACTCCCTTAGTTGTGTGTGTATTAGATCTAATCACACGGTATTTTGAAAGTATGGGGGTTTAACAACAGGTGCCCATTTGGTGATTCTGTTTTTCAGCTTATCAGGTTTATCAGCCAACGTTTTAATTAAACACGTAATTTTTAATTTATAAGAAAACATAAGGCTGAAGTTACCTTTATGGCTGTAATGGCTGAATTTACTATAAATAACCATTTTAGTTATTTTTCACATATTTTTTCTTTGTTTTATTACTAAAATATATTTTAAATATAATTTTTTCCCCATAAAATCAATATAATCAGTCAATACAACCACTTCAGCTCGAACTTTATAAATTTTAGCTGAATCCAATTCGGTAGCTACAAAATGTGCTCTTGATATATTCCATTTAAAAAAAACTAAAAGCAAGATACAAAGCTGGCCAAACAACACAAACCACAAACCCCCACTCACGGTGAGTGACTCTCTCTGTAGAATAAGCACGATAGGGTTTCTTCCTCAAAGCAAGCCGATGGAAAATTGCGTCTCTCTGGCTCGTAAGGTATACACATTATAATTTATATTCATAAATTTATTGATTTTTGTCAAAAGTTCTTAAAGTCATATCGGCTTGCTTCTACGCTTACATAGACTTTCTCTAATCCAATGTTTATGTAGTCTTGATTTGGATTTGTGCACCCTCTTCGAATTTGGGGACCAAGAAGAGCTCCTCTGCAATACCAATCGATAAGCCTCTCTGGTATTTTTCTTGTGCATATGTTCTTGTTCATACATATTTGTTTGGATCTATTTTACTGCTTGTACAATAATCCATTCACAGACTACCTTGGCCGGCCTTATCCAGATTTGTATTTATTTGCCTCTTGAGTATAGAAGCTGCTAGATAGCCAATATGCAAATCTTTATGCCAGAATGAGTTTTTTGTTATCATAGGAAATCAAGAAATAGAAAACAACTGCTTTTCTCCAAAAAAAACAGCTGTTTTGTTTATACTAATGGGTTGACACACCGATACCTTCTACTGGGTTAGCTAAAGTAGATTGTATACAAATGCCAAATTGTATTAATATACAATTTTTTTTACTCTAATTATTTTAACCCATAAATATTGCAGAAGTGACTAAACTAATCCACAAACATTACATTAACTAACTTATGATCTTTCTTGGAGTTGATGAGGAGACTGTGCTAATTCAAATGCTCTGTATTCATTCTTTCAATTGATTTTTTTCATTTCTTATGGGAGTGCTTAGTAATACAAATTGTATTCATTTGATATTTTCTTATTAAAAAGTAATTGTTTCTATTTTTAGGATTAGTTAAATATTATATTTTGGATCAATCTCTCTGTTAGTCATGACCTAATCTGCCCATAATAGTTGATTTCTCTATTTATAGGTCATGGATAGGGATTGGATGTATTCACAAAATAGAATCTCCCCAGAGTACCGAGAAAAAGTAAATGAGTTTTTAAACTATTCATACAGAGACAAGGATATAAGCTCATTGATTTATTGCCCCTGTAAGGATTGTGCAAATAGATTTTATGTAAATCGTAATGAGGCTTATTCACACCTCATAGTCCGTGGATTTACATCAAGGTATAGATGTTGGATTTATCATGGTGAGACTAGTACTCCGATTCAAGAGAACACAATGGCCACAGACAATACACAAGTGCACACGAATGACAGTATGGTCAATATGATACACGAAGCATTTGGTGTTCCCCATGGAATCGATTCTGGTGCTAACACTGAGCATGGCAGTGGTCCAAATGAAAAAACTAAAGATTTCTTTAAGCTTTTAGAGGATGCTGAAACTGAATTGTTTCCAGGGTGTCAAAATTTTAGCAAGTTGTCTTTTATTGTTCGCCTTTTACAGTTAAAAGCCCTCTCGAGTTGGACAAATAAGTCATTCACATTACTTTTAGGATTACTTAAGGAAGTATTTCCAGAGTTGGAGAATATTCCAGGTTCATATTATGAAGCTAAAAAAATTGTTGATGCTTTGGGGTTTAATTACCATACATGGGATTCATGTCCAAATAATTGTATGATTTATCGTGGTGAAGATATAGACCTGGAAAAGTGTTGCATTTGTGGAGAAAATAGATATAAGGAAGGTGGAAAAAAGATTGGAATTAAGAGAGTGAGATACTTTCCTTTGAAGGAAAGACTACAAAAGTTCTTCATGTCTTCCAAGACTGCTTCACTAATGAAATGGCATGTAGAGGGTAGATCTGATGATGGTGTATTAAGGCATCCGGCAGATTCTAAAGCATGGAAATCTTTTGATGAGAACAACAAGGACTTTTCAAATGATAAACGTAATGTTCGCTTAGGTTTATCAGCAGATGGATTTAATCCTTTCAGAACGTTGTCGACATCTAGAAGCACTTGGCCGGTTATCCTGATTCCCTATAATCTACCTCCTTGGCTATGTATGAAACAACCATTTTTAATCTTGTCTATGTTAATTGATGGACCTAATGGACCCGGAGACAAAATTGATGTATTTTTGCAACCATTAATTGAAGAGTTGATGCTTTTGTGGAATGAAGGTGTATTGACATATGATGCATCTGCTAATGAGATGTTCACGTTACATGCAGCACTGTTATGGACTATTAACGATTTTCCTGCATATGCTAACTTATCTGGATATAGTACAAAGGGATTTCTTGGTTGTCCATGTTGTGAAGACAAAACTAAGTATCTCAGGTTGTGCAATGGAATGAAGACATGCTATATGGGTGATAGGCACTAGTTATTAGTGCCTAAGTGTACATTTTTATTATCATTTGTAATATTTATTTACTAGTATTATGCAAGTTTGTAGTTGTTAGTTTGCATTTGATTGTAATCGTATTTTTAGTATTTTATCGTTTGTTGTAAGTTATAGTTAGTTGAGCTATAAGTTTAGGATAGGTTTGGAAGCAAGAAGGATGGAAAAACCTGAGTTTTATGCAAAACCCGGTCGGGTATGGACTTTACCCGGCCGGGTATGAAGTGACAAAGGAAACTGCTGCAAAACTAGCAAATACCCGGTCGGGTATTCCATATACCCGGTCGGGTATGTCAAAATACCCGGCCGGGTATCCGGCATTAGGTGTTGAAAACACCTATAAATAACCCCATTTTCCTTCACTTTTAATCACTCCTTCTTCCATACTCTTAAGCTCAGTTTAGAATAGTATTTCTTTTATATTTTTATAGCATGTTTAGTCTCCAAATGAGGAGCTAAACTTCCATTTCTTGGTGTTGCTCTTGAAGCTTGTTGATTATTAAAGTTGTGAGTTATTTTCTTAACTTCTTCCCTTGAATATTAATTATTCTCTTAATCTATCTATATATTAATGTTGGGGAGTGTTGCTAAGATGACAATTAGTTAACATCTCGACATTAGTTATAGTAGTATTTATTTTCTTCCTCTATATATTAATGTTGGGGAGTGTTACTAAGATGACAATTAGATAACATCTTGACATTAGTTATAATAGGATTATTCATATTTAATCTTCTTCCTTGAATATTAATTTTTCCCTTGATCTATCTCTATGTTAATGTTGGGGAGTGTTGTTAAGATGACAATTAGTTAACATCTCAACATTAATTACTACTAGAAACGTTCAACGAACCGATGATTAATCGTTGATGGTTTCACAAGTAAGTAACTTCGGTTTATTAATGCACGGTCGTGGTTAATAAACTTAAGAGGGATTAATTTTGTTGGTTAAACCGAAACCGTTGTGTTGAGGTTATCAATCTCAATTGATTTCATCAAGGAGTTAAGAGATTAAATGCTACTATTAAGTCGGTATATGGCGGTGTTCTATACTTGACTAATAGTAAGGGTTATTAATGAACGGTCGTTGTTAATAACTACTCTCGATGAATTGGATATACTCCTCGATTGAGTATTTGAGAGGGGATAAGTTATAGATATAACAATGATCGACTAAAATATATCAACAAGTGGAAAGTAGCAATGCCAAGTCCTTTTTATCTTTGAATTAAATCACATTTAAGTTGTTCATCTTTCTGTTTAATTAAATTAAATCATTCAATCCTAAACCCCCCTTTTATTTACTAGTTCTATAAAAAGAGAATTATTCCTTTCCCTGTGGATACGAACTCTACTACGCTATACTACGTATAAGTGTTGTATTGAATTTACTTTGAGTGCACTCACGACAAAGTGCACGTCAAATTTGGCGCCGTTGCCGGGGAAAGGCAATTATTTTTCTTTTTATTTTATCTCATAAAAATCAAAAAAAAAATTAAAAAAAAAATCTTACTCTTCTATTTTCTGAGCTTACATGAGTTATGAGTATATGGATGCCAACATATCATCCTTAGAGAGTCAAATTTCCTTCTTGACTTCTCTAATAAAGGGATTTATCTTAAACTCGGAAGCTCAAGATGCCAAGGCATGCAACATTTGCATGTCTCACACGCATTTTACGGATTTCTGCCCAAAGCTCCAAGATGAATACCTTGAACAAATTGATGATGTTGGTTACGAAAGGGATGCACCTCACATGAGGTATGATCCGTTCTCCAACTCTAACATGTCTACGGAGGATATGGTCCGGGCTATTGCTACCAACATGACCACCATGCAAAACAACATGGTGCAATTCCAAAATGAGACCAAGTCTAGCATTTTAAACTTGGAAACTCAAATGAGTCAAATAGCCGGAGCCGTGAGTAGGCTTGAAGCAAGGGATTCAGAAAAACTTACCTCTCAAATAGAATGTGATCCTAAACAGCAAAATTTTGCAATCACATTGACAACTGAGAAGGAAATGCAAAAGGAGATCCAAAATCCAGAAGAAGTAGAAGAAGAAAGAGACACGGAGCCCCAGCTGGTCAAAGAAGAGGATGAACCGAGTTTCAAGGTCAAATATCTATCCTTGTCATCCTTTGAGGTACCCCCATCAATTCTAAAATTTTTGAGGGAAACTCATAAAATTGACAAGGATAATGACATTTTTGAAATCTTCAGCAAAATTGAGGGATCAAAACATTTTCCGTTAACCATGTTTAACGATAATTTCTTTCCCTCACTCCCACCACATGAATCAATGAAAATCTGGATATTTGATCCTGGAAAGATTTTCAAAGTGAAGAGTCAAGAAATTAAGCATTCCTATGGAAGTCCTAGGAGTGAAAATTTGAAGAAGATGAATTATCACGATCCAAGCTTGAACGATTGAACACAATGATGGCGTCATGCCGCGACGTTAAATAAGGCGCTTCTTGGGAGGCAACCCAAGCAAGGTATGTTTTCTGTTATCATTTTATTAAGTAGAGTGTGTGTGCAAAAAAAAAAATTGGGATTAACTATTACCCGACCGGGTAGACCCAAATACTCGGTCGAGTGATCTGGCAAAAACTTTCTGCCTCGGGTGAACAGCTTACACCCGACCGGGTCAGTCACTATACCGGCCGGCCGGGCGGGCGGGCAGCTTTCTTCCCCCATTTCTTCTTCTCCCCCACGACCAAAAATCCCTCAAATCTCTATTGTTGAGCTCCAAAATTTTCTAAACCCCACCATTTCTACACCAAATCCATCAAAACCCCATTTTCTTCATCTCCTCATCACCCTCTTCATCTCCACACCCACAAATCACCAACAAAACCTCCCAAAAGTACCCAAAAAATAACGCATTCATCTCATACACAAGCACTAGGGACAGTGCTTTGATTAGCTTGGGGGGAATTTCTTGGAAACTCACATTCATACTCTGTATTCTTGAGTTTTTTTTTCAAAAAAAAAAAATTAAAGAAAAGCTTGTTAAGTTGAAAACCTGAAAAGGCAACTTAAGCAAAAATTAAGCAAAAATAAGAGTGAGCTGTGAGGTTTAAAACAGAAAAATGTGGGAAGCTGGGATGAAAACCCGAAAGGGCACCTAGGCAAAATGAGAGAATGAGATAAAGTATCTCTTTTATTTTTGCAGGATCCTAAGGGTGGATATGAGAGAAAAAAATGAAGTTGAAAACCTCTCATTATTCTTGTGTTTTGATCATTGAAACATTTTTATGTTGACTTTCAAAAACACTTGTGAATGGTTGTGATTGCTACTATTGTTGGTTTGGAAACTTCATGGACATGATTTGTTTTACTCGAGACGAGTAAAAGTTCAAGTGCGGGGGTGTTTGATAGGCACTAGTTATTAGTGCCTAAGTGTACATTTTTATTATCATTTGTAATATTTATTTACTAGTATTATGCAAGTTTGTAGTTGTTAGTTTGCATTTGATTGTAATCGTATTTTTAGTATTTTATCGTTTGTTGTAAGTTATAGTTAGTTGAGCTATAAGTTTAGGATAGGTTTGGAAGCAAGAAGGATGGAAAAACCTGAGTTTTATGCAAAACCCGGTCGGGTATGGACTTTACCCGGCCGGGTATGAAGTGACAAAGGAAACTGCTGCAAAACTAGCAAATACCCGGTCGGGTATTCCATATACCCGGTCGGGTATGAAGTGATTTCGGACCAAAGAACGTGCAGAAGACACAAAAACATGGGAAAATATTTGATTTGGTAAATACCCCGGTCGGGTATGTCAAAATACCCGGCCGGGTATCCGGCATTAGGTGTTGAAAACACCTATAAATAACCCCATTTTCCTTCACTTTTAATCACTCCTTCTTCCATACTCTTAAGCTCAGTTTAGAATAGTATTTCCTTTATATTTTTATAGCATGTTTAGTCTCCAAATGAGGAGCTAAACTTCCATTTCTTGGTGTTGCTCTTGAAGCTTGTTGATTATTAAAGTTGTGAGTTATTTTCTTAACTTCTTCCCTTGAATATTAATTATTCTCTTAATCTATCTATATATTAATGTTGGGGAGTGTTGCTAAGATGACAATTAGTTAACATCTCGACATTAGTTATAGTAGTATTTATTTTCTTCCTCTATATATTAATGTTGGGGAGTGTTACTAAGATGACAATTAGATAACTACTTGACATTAGTTATAATAGGATTATTCATATTTAATCTTCTTCCTTGAATATTAATTTTTCCCTTGATCTATCTCTATGTTAATGTTGGGGAGTGTTGTTAAGATGACAATTAGTTAACATCTCAACATTAATTACTACTAGAAACGTTCAACGAACCGATGATTAATCGTTGATGGTTTCACAAGTAAGTAACTTCGGTTTATTAATGCACGGTCGTGGTTAATAAACTTAAGAGGGATTAATTTTGTTGGTTAAACCGAAACCGTTGTGTTGAGGTTATCAATCTCAATTGATTTCATCAAGGAGTTAAGAGATTAAATGCTACTATTAAGTCGGTATATGGCGGTGTTCTATACTTGACTAATAGTAAGGGTTATTAATGAACGGTCGTTGTTAATAACTACTCTCGATGAATTGGATATACTCCTCGATTGAGTATTTGAGAGGGGATAAGTTATAGATATAACAATGATCGACTAAAATATATCAACAAGTGGAAAGTAGCAATGCCAAGTCCTTTTTATCTTTGAATTAAATCACATTTAAGTTGTTCATCTTTCTGTTTAATTAAATTAAATCATTCAATCCTAAACCCCCCTTTTATTTACTAGTTCTATAAAAAGAGAATTATTCCTTTCCCTGTGGATACGAACTCTACTACGCTATACTACGTATAAATGTTAGTATTGAATTTATTTTGACGCACCGTGACAAAGTGCTCGTCAATGGGACATCGCCGATACTTATCCCCAAATCATAAATTCCGTCGAGACAAAGCATCTTTTGATGGGAAACAAGAATTTCGACAAGCACCAAAAAGATTATCTGGAAACCAAGTGATACAAAAGCTGAGTGGAGTCGTGTTGACTGACTATAAGAAAGATGACTTGCTGAAAAGGAAGAGGTGAAAATGAGAACTTGTGTGGTAACTGGAGAAAAAAGAGTATCTTTTTTGAGCTTCCTTATTGGAAGACCAACCTGCTCCGACACAATCTAGATTTGATGCATATTGAAAAAAATGTCTCCGATAATATCCTTTTCACATTATTAAATGTGAAAGGGAAGACCAAGGATAACATAAATTCCAGACGAGATTTGGTAGAAATGAATATTCGAAAGCCCTTGCACCCAGTTTTAAAGGATAATGGCAATTATTATATTCCTCCAGCATCATTCACTATGAGTAAGGATGAGAAATATAACTTCTGTAGAGTGTTAAATGACATAAAAGTTCCAGATGGGTATGCATCAAACATATCTAAGTGTGTTAATCCAGATAAGATGCTTCTATCAGGACTGAAAAGTCATGATAGTCACATTCTTATCCAACAACTCATTCCTTTGGCA